ACTTCTAAAAGTTTGTGGGAACTTCTGAAAAAAACTATTCTATTCTGAAAAAGCTGTGCATGGATTTCAGATTCCTTTTTCATCAACATAAACTTGTGCCTCGATCCATTTTTCTCAAGCATGTGTTGTGCTCTCTACCCGGAGCCTGCATTCTTCTCTACCACGTCTCAGATTACTAATGCAGCACAAGGGAGCTTCAAAAGTGGGTGGAAAATGGAATTAAAGAACAAGTTTATTTCGGTATAAAAAGTGTTCGAGGGACCAGCAGATGGCATAATGGTTACATCACTGGACTCCCATGGCGCTGACCATAGTTCAAGTCCCAGACCTGGTGGCTTTAAAACTCACACCGTGTGCATGTGCATGCGTGCACAAAATCATCGCAAGATGAGAATGGAAGAGAAGGGATTGTGGCATCGCCATCACCCTGGGTGGGGGAGGGGGCTGTGATTTCTCACTTTCTGTCTCTCTGGTGAGCGTACACACCCTACCTCTCTCTTTAAAAAAAAGTGTTTGAAATCCATGCATAGTTTTTTAATAACCAGGATTTTTTTTTTTTAGATGTTTTTGACTCAGGGTATGTGTGCTTTGCCTGAGAGAGAAACAGAGACAGTGAGAAGAAAAGTGAAAAATCACCCACAGGGGAGATGGCCATGCCATAATCCCTTCTCCCCTGTTCTCCTCCTGGGATCTTGAGCACACATTCACACACACCCAGCATGAGTTGTAAGCCACCAGGTCCAGGACTCAAATCGCAGTCGGCCAGCCATGTGGGAGTCCAGTGACATAACCACTAGGCCCTCTGCTGGCTCCAATAATGTATATTTTTAATGAACTTTTTCGAGACTCACAGATTTCCATCTTGGATTTAATATGTAGTAGGAGAACTTTAACAAGTTTCTAGAAAACCATATCCCAGTTTCCCTATATGGAAAATAGCAGTAACTAGGCTTTATTCTTTCTTCATACATAACTTGGGATTTGGTCACATAAAAACTGCTAGCCTGAATATTTGTCTTTAGAATTTTTAGACACTTTCCCATAATCTTCTGGTGTTGCTCATGGAAAACCTCACTGCTCTTTCTTTGGCCCCTATCTTTCCAGCAGCATCCTTTGTCCTCAAAAATGGACTCTTCTGTTTATCTTTGAAATTCTGAATGTATATTTCTGTATTTTGACTCGATGATGTTTTCCTTTGACCAATATAATAAATCCAGGTCTCAGCAGTCAGTGTAAGCGCCATAGGAGTAGAGCGCGTGTCTACTTGATTTATCACTGTAAAACCAACATATTTCATGGTGAATAGCACAGAGCAGGCAGCCAGTAAATACACGTTGAGTAAGAAATCTGTCCCAAAACCAAAAGATGTTTAATAACACACAAGGATCGAAGAATTTCACTCTACTGCACTTAAAGCCACTTTAATGAAAATAAATATGGGGATCACTGTATTCTGTGTCTACACTGAAAAGAACATGTTATTATATCTTTTTTCCAGATAAACTGGTAAGTACTGGACTATTTGCAAGTTTTTTTTTTTTCCTTGGTCTTGAAAGAATCTAGAACTGTAGGTGACTTTTCTGCTTTTTGCACATGAGGACTCTCAGCTTCAAAGATTTGCTGGAAATCTCCCTAGTGAGAAATGGTGGAGTTGAAATCAAGCTTAAATCTGATGGTGAAGTCCAGGCTTCTCATTTAGAACCCAGCCCTGCCATCCTCATAAGTAAACTACATTCCAGAACTCTGTATGTTTGGTTTCTGTCCACTCCTCCCACATGACAGTCATCCATCGTATTTTGGTAATCATTTTCTTATCTCTAGAGCTTTCCAATGTTCTACCCTACCTTGTCTCCCCTTCTCTGGGTCTCTATCTTCATTATTATATTCCTAAGTAAAGTTAAATCACCTTCCTATGGATATTAAATACTGTTTTATTTCATGTTTGACTGAACGTCCAACCATTCCTTTTGTTGCTTAGCCAAGTGAATGTTTCAGAGCACAGTATGGAATGAGGTGGAAGGAGGATACTGCTGGTCCGGGTAACCTAAAAGACTAGGCAGGAGGGTTTATCAATTATGACATTTGCATCTTGGCTTCAAAATAACTTGGTCTCTCAGTTCTAAAAATATTTTATTATCATGGAATGTCAATACTTGGTTATTTTGTTCTTGAGTCTGCATGGCTACCATCAGTATATTATTAGAAAATTAAGCCAAAAATCTAGACACTCAAAAAAAAAATCATTCATATGTACCACCTCCACAAATTATACTTCTGCTATGCTACTTGAAAATAATATATTTTAAAAAGCCAGTATCCATTTGGGTATCTGAATGCTATATTGCGTGATTACTAATCCATAGAAACTCTTTTTCAAAATAAAAATAAGTTATTTTCCTTGGGCTCTTTCAAAATATGACATCCTTGGAAAAGTCTATCACAGATTACTTTTTAGTACAGCTAAAAACTCGAAGCAGTTTTTCAACTCTTTTTTTTCTTTAAACCTGATTATAATTAGATTTGTTGCAACATTACAAGTAAGTCAAATCCAGCTTAAGAGATTTTAACCAACTTGTCAAGATGCCTTAGAGTCTCATGGAGAATAAAACACAGGGACCATGACTACAGCTCTGAGTTGCAAGGCAGGATAGATTTTCATAGTTCAGCAATGTGAAAATCAATATAGTGTCTCTCCTTTAAGTTCTTGATGGAAACTAAGGAGGAAAGAATGCATTACCTCTCATTAGCTATAAGAGACAGTAGCTTCCAATTTAGTAAACCCCCAAATAGATGACTTTGAAGATTTACTTTGGAAAACAGTACACAAGAGACATTAAATTCTTATAAACAGAACCATTCTGGATTAGTTTCAGAAAGGTCTCCTAGAAAAATGAGAAGGGAGAGGAGAATATGATTGTAAATAGTTCTACGTGTCGTCAGCTATTATCCCTAATGAAATATTAAAAGGACGAAAAGTTCATCTCAACTGTAGCTACTTTTAAAAGTAAAGATCTAAGCTCTCATAACTGAGACCCTAAGAGCTAATTATAACAGCGACATATCGATGGTCTTAAACATGCCTCATTCAGCAAGAATAATCCCCTATTATCTATATTACTATGAATTATTTATCGATTTAAATTGAGCCACACTTTCGTCATTCACTCATGGCACAAATAAAAAAGCACGTGTCTTTTACATCTAGAATTTCCATTTTGAAATTATGAAGGAAAAAGAGTGAAGCAATCATCGAGGTATCTAATGTTTCAGTTCAAATCTTGGGCATATGAAATATGAAAACCTGAAGAAATTATAATTCATCTTATGATTTCCTAAATGAAGAAACTTCTCAGGAAGCGAAGGACCCTTGACCCCTGGGGTCTCTTCCACAGACTGCTAACCCCAGTGTTCCGCCCACTCTGCCACACGGTCCTTACTTCTGGGAAGTTTGATGAGAGTTCTGGAGCCAATTAGAATGATGGTAATGGAAAATCCTCAGAGTAAAATAATTTAATTTAAAGCAAAACATTTCTTTGGATAAACAGTATGTTCTTTAATAAGCAGCTTGCCTATTTGGTTGGAAGGGAAATTTGCACTTAAAAAGATAAAAGAAGAAATAGGTTATTTCAGAAAACCACTGAGGAGATCTGCTTTTATTTTATTATATTATGAAGGTACCGGTTCTACCTGAATATCGTCTACAACATTTTAAACTCTAGTCAAAGAAATAAGCCACTGTGACACAACACACATAGGAAGAAGTCATCGAGCCGTACGCTGTGGCCCGGACAGAACAATGACGATTCTAAGGAAGAAGGCTCAACTAAAATTAATGCCAAAAGAAAAAGGCAGTGTCAAAAATATTCTGGTAACTCTAATATTATTTAGCATACTTTGATCCTGTCTCTATGTTTGGAGAGAAAATACAGTAATTGACAGAATATTCACTCTCTCTGTATAGTATAATTACAGTAATAATTCATTTGAGCAATAAGTAGTTATAAAGGTTTATTTCTGTCTTTATAATGATTGTACTTTACTCTTGAATTTTAGGCACGATTCTAATATGATCATGTAATTCTGACGTGCATTTATTTAATACAAGTTACGTGACGTGAGCAGTGTGTCCCAACCTCTGTACTGTCTACCTTTTAATGAGCAGATTTTTATTTCTTCCACCTCCTACTTACACATAATACCTGAGCACTTCAGTTTTCTACAAGAAGGATTTCAAAGTTTTATTGTTAGATATAAGAGCCCAGTCTTGTTCCTGTTGAATAGAAGGCTTTGGGGTTGGTATCTCTCTCTTCCTCTCTCTCTCTCTCTCTCAAACACACACACACACACACACACACACACACACACCACATGATACAAGACTTCATGTTATCATGTGTCCTTTTAAAATAACTAGTGGACATCCAATTAAAATAGAAACCATTCAAAGCTGGCTCAGATACAATCTATATGGTTATTTCTGATTTAAATAATAAACACGTTTAACTCTGATAGTTTTTTAGCCAGATTTGTAATTTCTCTTGATGTAAAACACTGGTTTCTTCCAGAAAGTTACAAATAAGTAAATAACTGAAAAAGCACTATTATTAGGTAGAAAAGCATTATACCTACCATGCCGTGTGACAAGTTTCTGGAATAAGTTTGTCCTTGAAATGCAGAACCATCCAGAAAGTTTATGACGGCATTCATACACTACACTTCGGAGCACTGTCATTCCAAGCCCCCTCCTCCCTCCCCACACGGAACCTTTACTAGTTCACACTCTGGTCCAAAACAACGGAACCAGTCTCAAGGCTTCAGACCTAGGCTAATTCCATTCTATCTGCAAATAAACAGAGCCAATCAGAAAAATAAGCTGATGGTAAAAACCGAACATGTGCCTGGGAAATGCCTATTACTTAACTTAGAATGCTATGTAGAGGAAATTAGGGGAAAAGGAAGAGATATCAATGAATAGTTTCAAGTCCTTTGCATTTACTCACCAGTTCCCCAAATGCAGAGTCAGTAACAAAAACATCAACCTCACGCCTCTACTTCGACTCCCCAGAAGGAAGGGGGAGAAGAGCAGAGCCTCCCAGGAGCCCATCGGGACGTTCCTCCCGCGGGTGCTGCGCGCTGGGTTCTGCAAGCCAGGGCTCCCCTCCCGGCGCAGCCCGGAGTAGGGCAGGAGAGCGGACGGCGCTGCACCTAACAGGTAGGACGCCCCGACTGCGCGCCGGGCCAATCAGGCCGCGAGGAGCCTGGCATAAATTATCTTGCGACGAGCCGGGCCAATCAGAGACCCCGAGAGGCGGGGCTCTCCCTACGAGCGGTCGAGCCCAGTAGGGAAAAGGGCTTCGTTTTCTTTTAGAAAAACAAACCTCTTGTCCCTTGCAGCGGCGGAGGAACGCTGGAGTGGCCTTGACAGATCCCTCCCAGGGCGGCTGTCCCCGTGCCCCCAGCCTTCCCGCCCGGTTGACTCTTTCGGGACCGCGGCCTCGTCCTTCCCCTGCATGTGGATTCTCTGTCCTCCAAGATGAGGCGGGGAAGCAGCAGTGCCTGACTGGTTTTCCCCAGACTGGGGGTCCTGCAAAATGCTAGGATTACCGTTGTTCGTTTGGAGGGCGGGGCGGTGTGTCGCCGCTCTGCACACGCGGCCTGGCCCCCGGCCCGCGCCAGTGCGCTCTGGGGCACCCGGGTCTGTAATGGGATGGCTGGATGAAGGTCCCTCGGCCCTCTTCCTACTCCTCTCTGCCACCTTAGCCGCGAGAGACTGAGCAGTCTCCTTCTCCCCCCGGGCAGCAGATGACACCAGTGGAGATGCCAGTCACGACTGCAGCGTTTTGCAACCACCACCACCCGATTTTGAGGTCCCTGTCGCCGCGGGAGCAGCAGACCCACTGCACGGACGACCCTGTTTCTGCCTCCCATCTGCCGTCGCGGTCGCGAGCTCGTGTCGGTGCCCAAGTTCACAGGCTCGGCTTTGAGTTCGCAGTAGAGCCGGCAGTTGCTATGGCAACCAGAAAGCCTCTGGCCGCTGGAACCACTGCACGGGCGGAGCGGGTGGGGACGCAGGCTGGCTCTGCCCTGCCATCTTCTGCCTTCACGCCTTCCTAAATCCCTGCTTCCCACGGAAGCCGCCTGCGGCGGGGGGCTGGGGCTGTCTCATTAATCTGCCCACAACCACCTGGAACTGGCCAGCCGCAGGGCTGAGCTGCAATTTACCCCCTAGTTACTTGAGAGTATCTGTCTCCAGGCAGACAGTTCAACAGTGCGTGCGCCGCGGTCAGAGAACTGTTGCTTCTCCCTTCTGAAATCGCTAAAAGGAATCAGATGGGGGGTAACGAGGTTACAGATGTTTTTTTTTTTTCTTTTTTTCTTGCCTGGAATAAAAGATAACACAGTGCGGGGCTGTTCTCTCCCTCTTTGATTGATTCTCGATCCCTTTAGCCTCTTCTGGAAACAGGTATTGACCCTCGTTGTTTTTCTTTTCCCACTACACGTTAATTAGGCAGCGTTTTTCTCTCCCACAAAGCACATTAATCAAGGCAGTCCATACCACAGAATTTATATCGCAAGGAAGTTTCATTATAATAGCTTTTGAGGAGAGTAAATTTCTACAGAAGGTGGGGTCACTATAACTCCGGGTTGGGGGGGTTTTTTCCTTCTTTTTCTCTGCTTCAATTAAGAATGGTCTTCGAGTGGGTATGGAACTGTTCCATTGGATGCACACGCTGACTTGCTGCTCTGATCACCCAGAGAACTTAGAATTAATTCACTAGAAGGATGTTGTGAATAACAATTGTTTGTCTGGTTACCCTTGCGTTTTGCTAAGATTAGCTAAGGTTGTGCTTAGGTACGTGGGAACCTGGTGCTACAAAACGTGGTGCCAGTCGGCTGTCCTCCCATCAATAACTCCTAATGAGGTTTTACTCTTAAACTCTTCCCAGGCGTAATCGGAAGGTCTGAGAGCAGTTAGGAGAAATTAACGGCGAGGAAAGGTGAGGGCTATGTCCTTGAGTGGTAACAAGTTGCCTGTTTATTCTAGTAAGAGACAAAGATCAGGGCTGAGAAAACACTCCTGTATTTTTCACAATCTAGGTTTTTTGGCCAATTTTGCGCTGAACTATTTTCCAACTTGTTTCATCCCTTTTGGGCACTTTCATCTCTTTATTTCTGTCTCTTCCTTTTGATTTTTTTCCCCCTTTTTATAATATCTGTCTTCTGGGAGACTGATCCCATTCTGCTAGCATAGTTCGCTACAATTTCCTCTAAGCTGGGTAAGAGGGACCTGAGCCCTTCGACCCTGAAGGAGGAATGACGGTTTTGCGCGCCGGCCCTGTCTTGACCATGACGGTCCTGTCCCATTTTCTTTGGGAGCCAATCGTGTGAGGGCCGTGCGCACCTTGTGGGTTCCGAATGAAGCCAGCCAGGCCCATTGTGCTCAGCATACACATCATAGTGTCTCCTGGGAGCACGCTCAGGGGGAAACAGACACGGGGCCTTAGAGGCTCCTGGATGGGAGAGCAGAAGCTGCCTAGGTAAGAACTGAAAAACACGCTGTCTCTTCCAATATGGCCACAGTTTCCACCCGGAGGCCCCTTGACCCCTTATAACCTTCGTCCATTTCAGTTGTCACAACCTGAGGGGAGGGGAGAAGGGGTGTCTAGAGTTAGAAGCTGGGATTGTTTTTCTATCCCAAAGCCCTCCCACGACAAGGAGTCACGGAGCTCAAACTGTCCATGGCGCCAGTTTGGGTGATGAGGATGGGAACCCAGACTTCACCACGGCTGATGACTCGGGGATACTGTCCCGGTGTCACCACTGCTCCTCCTCTCCACTAGGTGGGCCACAGCCACTAGCCACTCCTGATTGTGAGTTGTAATCAGTATCATCACAGTGCACATTTGTTCGGGGAGTGCTGTAAAATATGCTTGGTTTCTTGTTTAAAATGCAGGTTCATAGGCTCCACGTCACACCTACCTGAGTGCAATGCTGAGCAGGAACCTCTGGAGATTTTCACGCATCAGTTTGGGAACAATCGCTCTACCATCGTCTCACAAAACAACAGCCAGACAGCCTCCAATCGTGTGCGTGCAGCCCTGGCCCTGCCAAACGGGATTTCCGCACGTTTCACCCTGCGGGGTGCCATCACTCATTCATTCATTCGAAGGCACCTACTGAGGACCCGTGGCACCAGACACTGTGTGCAGCATCCCTGCTTCGCCCTTGGCTTCTTCGTCCATTCAAAAGAGGTTAAGAATTCGACTTAATTTACAGAGTCCTTTTACGACTACATGGGGACAACATGGAACAGTGCCTGTATAACAGGTCACCACGAAAGTGTTGTCACTGTTGTTATCCTGGTGAAGGTCTCAAATCGCATCGGTTCACTCTAGTTCTCAGGACGGCACGTGGCATGGAATACTCATTACGTTTTCTAGAATGTCCGGTTTTGTAGGAAGAGAGGAGAGGATTAGGGAACACTGACTTCTTCCCTCACTATTTTATTTTTTATTTTTATTTTCCAGAGGTTTATGCTTTAGGGTGTAAGTGCTGGCCGGAGAGAGAGAGAGAGGGAGCGGGGAACCACTAAATCACTCCCCGGCGGGCGGGGTGGGGAGGTGGCCATGCCATGATCTCTTCTCCATCCTCCTCCCAGGATTTTGGGCACACACACGCACCCGGCATGAGTTTCAAGCCACTGAGTCCGGGTCTCGAACCATGGTCAGACATGTGGGAGTCCAACAACATAACCATTACACCATCTGCTGGCCCCTTCCCTCACTCTTCATATTATCTTGACATATGGCTTTTCCAGGGAAAGGGGACATTTTGGATTATGTTCTACTTGTTCTGATTTCATTTTATTCTGGTGGCCACAACACATACACTTTAGTCAAGATATCATTTTCAGGAATCTAAACTTATCACGTAATATTATCCTTTCCTTCTGTCGCACGCAGTTCCGCTTCGCCCAGGAGCCCTCCCCATCCTCGTCATCTGCTGACTCTCCCTTCACTCCTTCTGAGCTTGGAAGTCACTCCCCTCTCCCCCAAGAAGCCTTTATCGACGGTTCAGTGCGTGCTCGTCGATGTTACAGGCTGTCCCACCGTAAGGGCTAACATATTTCGAGTGCTAACTGTGCATTATCAGGCCCTGCTCTTAGCAGCTGTAGGTTAGGGGTGCACATCGTAGTCACTGCCCTCCTCAAGCAGGCAATTCAGATCTCGGATCACAGAACGGATCCCGGTTGGGGAAACTCTGCATTTCTACCCAAGGAGCCAGCTCTGTTTTTAAACTGTACGTACTAAGGATCAATAGTGCTTATCGGATGTGATATACTGTGTGTTTGATGCTACGTGCATATTTAATTAGTACCTTTCTCCTGGAATACAGCTCCGTGAAGGTGGGGACTTCATTCGTTTTCATCACAACTGCATCCCTTAGGTCCCAAGCAGCCACTAATAGGTGACAGGTACCCAATGTGTGGCCCTAGAATGAACAGCGGAATGGGAAGAACCGACAGGTGGCATGGTGGTTGGGGTGCTGGACACTCCCACGTGGCCAACCATGGTTCGAGTCCCAGACCTGGTGGCTTGCTTTCTCTCTGTCCCTTTCTGTCTCCCTCTGGTCAAATGAAAACTAAATGAATGAATGAAGAAAATTAAATGAATATATGAATAAAATTAAATCAATAATTTAAAAAAAAATTAATGAACTGCGAATGAAGAAGACAGCGAATGGTGTTTCTAGAGCCGTTGAGGGATCTCTGTTCCTCAGCGTCGGTCTCCGGTGTCTATTTCCAAGTGAACAAATTCCAGATCCTAGTGCTAGAATTGTTTCTTCTCATTAGACCATGGGGATTATTTACTTTTTTTTTTTTTTTGGAGAGATTTTCGCTATAGGGCGCGTGCGCTCGCCAGACAGACAGAGAGAGACATAGAGACAGAAAGCGAGAAATCACCCCCCAGGGGGGATGGCCACGCCTCAATCCCTTCTCCTCCATTCTCCTCTCGGGATCTTGGGCACACACGCACATGCGCCCAGCGTGAGTTTTAAGCCACCGGGTCCAGGACGCGAACCACGGTCGACTACGTGGGAGTCCAGCGACATAGCCATTACGCTAATTGCTGGTTCCCAGGATTATTTACTTTTTTGATTATATGTTGCCAAGACCAAAATTTTAAAAACCTA